TCAGGAGAGCTCTTCCTTTCTAGTCCTTCATCAGACTTATGATTTACAAGTACACACACACACACACACACACACACACCCTTGAAAGACTCCTCCAAGGGGACCCAGGAAGGACTTGAACCCAAAGACACTCCAGAGACTGTCTTGCTGTAATTACATGAGTCAGGTCCTTTATTATCGAAGCTTTGGGTCGATATGTGCCTCACACAGAAGGTAGGGGTTATGGAGCTCGAGGCCCAAAAGCTTAGGGTTATTATAGGCAAAGGCTGGAGGGAGGGGAGAGGGTTGTGGGTAATCACACACAATTGGTTGTTTCAAATGTCAGTAATGTGTGTAAGCAGATCCCAGGCAGAGATTTGACAAATCTCACGAGAATAGTCTCTGGTCCCTGTGGCCTTGCTTACCTGAGCCAACAGACCATCTGGCTGAATTTAATTCGCAGGTCCTTGGGACCTCTGGTGGGAGTTTTTCCAGAGGAGGCTAAGTCAGATACCACGGGAACAGATTCCTGGAACACTCAATTGACCTTTGTTTCTCCAGCTCTGCATCCCCTGTGACGGCCTTGGGTTAGCAAGCTAGCTGACCTGTCATTCTTAACTATTTAATTGACTTAAAAAATCTCTTTTCAAAAAAAAAAATCTCTTTTCACCCTTTGAGACAGGGTCTCTGTGTATCCCAGAATGATGTCAAACTTCCGGATCCCCCTGCCTCAGCCTCTGGTCTGGGTTACAGGTGGAGCCCACAGCAGCAGCTTCTATTGAATGTTATTTTTTTGAGGCCCATAAAGTTTAAATTTTGATGAAGTGAAATCTGTTCATTTCCATCAGTGGTATTTTTGCTGTCATGTGTAGTAAGACTTTACCAGCCCAAACCCTACAATGGCTACTGATCTTTTCTTCTAAGACCTTTATGATCCTAGCTCTTGGTTTAGGTTTGTGGTCCATTTGGGGAATTATTTGTACATGGTATAAGAGTGGGTCTAACCTCGTTGTGTGGATATCCGCTGATTTAACCCTGATATTGGAAGATCCATTCCCACATTAAGCTGTAAAATGTGATCAGTGGTCTCTGACTTTTGACTCTATTCTATCGCACCGGCCAACACCAGGACCCCGTGTCCCTGTGGACACAGCACTGTAGTAGACCTGCAAGCTGAGGTGTGCCCTTGGGTCTTGTTCTTTGTCAAGATCTCTCTGGACACTCAAGATTCCTGTCTTTTCTATGGAATTTTAAGATCGGCTTGTGAATTTCTGCAATGAACGATAGCTGTCGTTCTCAGAGCTGTGATTGAATCTGTGGATACATTGAATCTGTGGACACATTCGAGAGTTGCTACTTTTACAAAATCATGTTTCCCAGTCCAGGCACACGAATGTCTTTCTTTTTGTTTGTATCTCCATTCATTTCCCACCCCCTCCCCATGTGGTATCATTGTCATAGCACAGGTCTTTTGGGGTCTTGGTTTGTTTTTTGTTTGTTTGTTTGTTTGTTTTGGTCTTTTCCCTTTGTGATATTCTAGTAAGTGGAACTGTTTTCTTAATTTTCTTTTTTAAATTTTGCTTTATTTTTTTACATGGATGTTTATGATGGAGAGACAATGTGGCGGTCAACATTGATGGCCCCGGCGAGTCTCCTGATCCCGCCTCTCGTCTCAGTATAGATGTGCTGAGATAACACCTCTAAGCCACTGGGTCCAGCTTCTGCTTTGTTCTTGCTTACTAAAGATAGCATCTCACTAAATAGCCTTGGCTGGCCTGGGACTCACTATGTAGACCATGCTGGCCTCAAACTCAGAGATCCTCTTGGTTCTGCCCCCGGTGCTGGGATCAAAGGTGTATGCCACCACCCCCAGTCCAGCTTTTGTATATGGGTTCCAGGGTTCAAACTCAGGCTGTGTCAGGCTTGTGCAGCAGGTGCTGTTACCCACCTTCCTCCTACCCACCTTCTAATTGGCTTGGCAGGTGACTTATTGATGCTGCGCAGAGAGACGATTGATTTCTACCTATTGATTTATTCTTTGATCTGGCTGAACTCATATATTCCTTCTAGTAAGTTTTCAGTGCAGATCTTAGCCTTTCATAAGATGCCATCAGCACCTTCTTTCCATTGGGATTTGAATGCTTTCCCTTTGCCTGACTTTTCTGGTTAGAACCTTAAATACCCATTCAATGCAAGTGTTAAGCCTGTGTAGCCTTGTGTCTTTTTTCTGTTCTGAAGGGAAGAGGTGGCTTTAGATCTGAGCATGAGTACTGACCCTGGTTCTTCCAAGGTGCTCCCTGTCAGGTGTGGAAGTCTTCCTCCTGGGTTGTTGAGTGTTTCTGTCATGTGCAGTATGTGGTGTGTGACTTTTATTCTGATGGTAGGGGATGTGCTATACTGAGCTCAGTGTGTTAAACCAACTTGCATTCTTAGGATAAGCTCCACCTGTCATGGGTATGAGTCCAGCTGACTATATCTGCTGAAGATGTTGCATTTAGTCACGAGAGATACTTATCACTGGTTCTCTGTCTCTCTGGTTTCTCACACTGATTTTGTTATCAAAATAATACTGATCACATACAACAGAGCAGACATAATCCTAAGTTTTGGAAGCAGTCAGAAGGAATTGCTTTGAATTCTTTAAACATCTAGTGAATATTTCTTGAAGCCACATGACAGTGGATCTCCTAGGGAGCCACACGACAGTGGATCTCCTAGGGAGCCACACGACAGTGGATCTCCTAAGGAGCCACACGACAGTGGATCTCCTAGGGAGCCACACGACAGTGGATCTCCTAGGGAGCCACACGACAGTGGATCTCCTAGGGAG